AAATCAGAAATTCAGACTCCCAGCTGGTGTTGGAAAGACCACAGATCTGTATAAACTAGACAAAAAGGAATTATGGGCAAATTCAAGGACAGGCATCTAGATAGACAGGAAAGAATTAGCTCCTGGATCATGATGAGTATTAAGTCGTGGAGACATGGCCAATACTGTCAGTCCTTGACAGACCGACAGTCAGACAGAAGGAGAGAGGAGTTAAGCAGACAGAATCTGTGTGCATGCACAAACAGGATGCTCTTTATGCCTGTTGTGTGTGTTGTCTGTGTATTGTGCACCTGGTGGAAAGGAAATCTAGAGATTTTTTTCTGTTCTTTGACTCGGTCGTCAGGTGCAGTTTTGGGTTGTTTTGATATTCAAGATGTGTGTAGAGCCTGCATAGAGAAGCATCAAGCGATTGATCTAGCAGTGTATCAGTTACTCTATCAATCAATCAGACAAAGAAGGTACAAACCTTCTTCTGCAGGTGGTGAAATTGGCTTGACTGGAATGTTTAATTTCCACTCCTACCAGAATCAGAACAGCTCTTGATCCTACTGCAGGAGGAAACTCAACAGAGTTGCTGCTCAGTGTGTGATCACAGTTCCTATCATAGTCTGAAGAACAGTCAGCCTCTCCAATTATAATATTCTGTAATTATTTTAAATATTTTGCTAATAGTTATCGGTTTGACAACACTAATTCATTGGTCATGCCAACCATGTTCCACCCCAACCACGTCTTTTCCCCTCTCTCAGTAATCTGCATTCTGTTCGGAGAAAAGGAGAGCATGATGCAGTTCTCACTCCAGACGCCAGGAATAATGGAGCTTTTCAGCTATTCAGTTCGAGAGTGAACAAAAAGGAGATGTGTTTACTTGAAACTCATCTTTATACTGCTTGCAGCTAAGAAGGTGGCGTCATCCTGAGCTTCATTAAGAAAGAAACCTCTTTATGTAGATCCAGTACAGGAAGACAGCCCAGTCACAGGGCTCTAGACTCTTACAGTCCCTGTGGAGTCCAG